TTGAAAAAAAAGTGATGTCCCTTTTTCCCTGCTTTTTCTCGAATAATTTTTTGTTGGATGACAATGGGCTGGACCTGAAGTCCCCATTGGTTCATTTCTGGTCATGCATTGATCATTCTGATTGCCTTTGCATTCAGTATTATGCTTTTTAGGAAGGAAATCATTGTGTGTGTGTGTGTGTAATGAAGCCAATCAAATTGTGCGCATATAGAAAAAGAAAATCACCTCCTATTCAAGTGTGATGGACCAGGAACCATAAAAGGTCTCAATTTCTTTGGCAGAGTATCATAACAGTTATATTAGATACCAAGGCTCTTCCTTATTGATATTTCTGTTTATGTTACTCGGACTCAGACATTAGTGTTTGGTATATGCATACATCCGATACGGGTATGGTCAAAATTTTAAAGTTTTCCATATATTAGGAAGGTCATACCCCTCAATAGCATGTCTGAATACATGGGAGAAATGAATTCTTCATGGAAAATCAAGAGTTTGGAGTAAAATAAGTTCAAGGAAATGATAGGGAAGATAAGGGAGGTTATGAAATGATTTCCTGACCCTATGCTTCAACTATGGTTCTAGGTTCATTTCTAAAGAACTTTTATTGTTTTGTGCAGTTGAGGAATATGAGAGATCATGGGAACAAAACGAAGAATTGGGTCTGAATGACATTGACACCTCTTCAGCTGATGCTGCATACGACGAAAACGCATGAGGATAAATAGACTACAAATGATCTGTATCTGAGAGCAAGCTTCGGGTCACTTGTTCCCTTATTCAACCAATCGAATCAAGCATGACTGATGACAAAGTGTGTTGTGCAAAAACTATCCAAACTGGCTGCCGGAATGAAATAATGCGTTCAAAAGCATTGTCCTCAGTTACTAAGTTATAGAATTTGGTTTGTTTTAATGTTTCTGCTTTGATATTCATATATTTTTCAGATGATTTTGGATTCTATACAATTAAATTTTCCCTATTAAGGCCTTCATGTTCTTGTCAAGCATATTATCACCTACATTTTGTATAATTCAAGTCAATGCTGGAATGTTTTATGTTATGAACCTTGAGAAATAGAGATCGAAGAAAATGAGAGGATTTAGAAGTGAAGAACAAAGAATACAGAAAAGGATTTCTTCATTCAATCATCAGATAAGATTTCTCTCATTCAGTACATAGTTTTATACAATTGCAATGTACTATGGCTAATAGGTTCTCGACAGCTGTACATTCTATAATTAATTGTAACAACTTCATTCTCCTGTTACAACTAAGGCATACATCTTTGGTGGGCTCCCAATAGAATTCACTGTTGGGCTTGCTCTCTTTTTCTTCATAGAGTCCATCTATGCCTTACGTGATTCTAATCTCGTGTTAATTATTTCTGCCCCAATTTCTAAAATCGAAATCCCTAATTCATCATTTCTCTTTTTCAAAATCCTTAACTATTTCTTTGATTTTCCCAATTCCTTCGCTTCACTTATGAACCCTTTGTTTTGTTCTTCTCCTTCATTCGTGACAATACCCCCTCCATGAGTAGATCCTTGTCCCCAAAGATCGAAATTTGAAAACTGAGGCATGAGAATGGTATGAGCTTCCCAAGTATCGTGATTTGAGTTCAAGTTCATCCATCGTACAAGTAAATTCTGCCAGTAAGGTTGCAATCTTAGGTATACTTCTTCTCCAATTTGAAAATGTCATTCACTTCGATTTTTATCAGCATGTTGTTTAATTCTGTTCTGCAACATATCTGGAACCTTATGCACTGTGAATTCTGAAGACCATAGTAGAGTAGGTGGTTTATCGGAATTCACATTCACTTCATACAACACCTCATCATTGTTTTGTGAAACTTTGCTCTTCCCTATATCTTTTGGCCTCTCATTTCTCCGTTTCAAGGTAACAAGTTGCCCAACTCGAAAACCAATAGAATACAGAGGTAGAAACCCAATAGCTAGGCATGGGTCGTGGATTGACAGCTGTAAGATTAGAGCACTCTAAAAGATTAAATTCTGACTAGTATTGAAACTGGAACAATAATCGTTCAAAGCTTTGTAGTTCACTAAGTTTCCATTATGACCAACCTCAGTAGACCCAAACTTATACCCCACATCTTTCTTATATTTGCCCCAAACCCACTGTTGGGTTTCAACTTTTGGAATCACTTCAACAACATTTAGTACACCACCTTTTATTTCCTTTCCGATAAGAGCAAGCATCTCTACCATTTGAAGTTTAAGGAAAAAATTTCAATTGGTTCAGACAATCTAAGTTCTCCAGCAACTGAATCTGATTGAAACCGATGTGTACCCAAATAACAAAGGACTGTTATAATATGCATCAGTAACCTCATAAGTTTTAGCATTAACCGCATTGATGAGAATGATTGTTCTGCCAATAATTTCACTATACCAACTAAGGAGAGTTGATTCTTCATAGCAACTAGAATATTCTCCCCCTAGAGTATATCCTTGAATCCATAATAGTCCAACGTAATACACCCTCATATTCCATTAGATGAGTAAACATAATTTTCTTATCTGCCACCAACCCACTTAACATGGTATTTGCACTATACCGTGTATAGTTTCCAACACTACAAATTTCCCTCTCCTTCAGATGATCATTGCTCTGAAATCGACCTCTTTCTTCCTTTTCTACCATATAGGTTACATCATCATCAACTGGTTTGACAGATTGCAATAACTCAACAACTACAGCATACTCTAGTCCTAATTTTTTAATGGATTCTGTTAGCACAATACCATCCTGCTTTGCAACAGTAGAACTTTTTTCTGCACTTGTTGAACTATTCTCAAAATTTGGAGATTGAACATAACTTCTTGACCTTGTGAAAACATCTTCACTCCTTGCTTTGCTTCAGTATTGTCCTCTTTCTTCAGTTTTCACGCCACAATATACAGTATTATAAACAAGTCTGACAAATTTTAACTCCAATAACTCATGAACATCAAGTTGTTGTCTTGATTTGCAGATGGATTCTGTTGGTACATAACTTCTTGATCTAGTGACTCGACCAAAGACAACCTATTCATTCCTTTCCTTGCTTCTGCAGTCCACTCTTTTACCCTTTTCCACCTCATAACTCACAACATTATTCTTCTTTGCAACAAAAGAATTGTTGCATGTACCCAACGACCCACTTTCAAACTTGGAATGATGGATAGAACTTCTCATTCTTCCAAAATTATAGGCAGCAATATACCTATATCCACCTAAATCAATTACCACGATCTGTTCATGCCCAACAGACATATAAATAACAAGAAAACCTTTTATCTTTAATGTTCGGATTATGCATGGATGAAATTTAATTTGTTGTTCCCCCTGACCTTTAGCACTACTTAGTTTCTTCCTAGTCCCATTGACTTTCAAGCTGCACCTTGCATGAAAACAATCTATGTCAAAACAGAGACTACCCAGTGCATTCTTGGAGTCATGAAATAATTTTAGGAGACCACTGAAAATGCTCGATATACCAAACTTCAACAGAATAGAAAGCATAAGGTGCAACCTTTGATTCACACTCCAATTCTTAACCAAATAAATTATACTCCGTCCCATCCACAAAAGTCTAAACACATAAGGATCAAGGGTCGAAATATGTTCATTGGCATTCATAAACATCTTGAAATAAATTTCTCTAAGCATGGATTGAACTAGAGAATTCAGCTTATTTGAGTTACTAGTTGTTTGACACTGTAGAAAATGAACCACATTTGCCTTTGAAGGAGAATCAACTAATTGTTTTTGTGAGTTTATAACCATTTGAATCTCGCCCTCCAAGAGTCCGGATAAATCCACCACCAAATGGTTGAAAGGTAGCAACTTGAACCGACATAGGCAATTCTTGATTTTCTCGCAAAATCAGTTTGGTGTATCCAACCAGACTGACGTTCTACTGCAGTCGTGAATTAGCTTTCATGGTGCTGGTGATAGATGGAAATACAACACTAGTTACACTTGCTGACATTTTATCGAACATTTGAGAAACATTATATGGACCTTCTATTGCCACCGATAACATCCTTTTAGGAGTGAGGAAAATGGGTTTAGACTCACCCATTGAAAGTTGACCCATTCCTTTCTCCCCATGAATTTGTTGTTCCGGTAGTTGAGTAAAGCAGTCCCCATTAATTTGTTTTTGCTCAATCTTTTTATCATTTAGAATCTGTAAGATCTGCTGCACATATCTTTGATTTGTTTCCAGTTTAGATTCCAACGTACTCAATTGGCTTTCCTGCTTTTTCCACCATTTAGGAGTAGTTTCATCCTGTGATTGCTTCATCAAAGATGTTAAATCTTCAAGTTGTTTTCGTATTGCAGAAAGATCAGGATTTTCTGGCATTGTTTGCTTTCTTTTTGGCATACCCAGGCGTTGATTGCCAGGAGTGATGGCTCTGAATACCAATTTGTTATGAACCTTGAGAAATAGAGATCGAAGAAAATGAGAGGATTTAGAAGAGAAGAATAGAGAATACAAAAAAGGATTTCTTCATTCATTCATCAGATAAGATTTCTCTCATTCAGTACATAGTTTTATATAATTACAATCTACTATGGCTAATAGGTTCTCGACAGCTGTACATTCTATAATTAATTGTAATAACTTCATTCTCCTGTTACAACTAAGGCAGACATCTCTGGTGGGCTCCCAACAGAATTCACTGTTGGGCTTGCTCTCTTTTTCTTCATAGAGTCCATCTGTGCCTTACGTGATTCTAATCCTGTGTTAATCATTTCTGTCCCAATTTCTAAAATCGAAATCCCTAATTCATCATTTCTCTTTTTCAAAATCCCTAACCATTTCTTTGATTTCCCCAATTCCTTCGCTTCACTTATGAAGCCTTCGTTTTGCTCTTCTCCTTCATTCGTGACATTTTATTTCCTGCAAAACTTTTTTTTTTTTTTTGCAATAGAATTAGAAGCTCCGTAGGTGTATATTCTTCGTCAATGAACAAGAAATGTCTGGATTCAATGGAGATTTTACAAAGTTGCTTATAAAATTCGAAAGAGTGATACAATTTTTCCCTTTTCAAAACGATTGATACTCTCGATACCAAACTATTCAGATGGTGGTGATGAGCCATCCACAGATTTTCCTTTCTCCCTCAGTTTAGCAACCTCTTGTTTCATTGCTTCCTTCCTCTTCTTGCTAGCTAATACTTTTGCCTGAACACCACTCAGACTGGGGTCTTTCTTCTCCGCTGGCGGTAGTGGTGGTGGCCTTCTAGCTGCATTCGCTTGATTCCGGTCACCAACATTGAAGCCTAACAATGCTCCTGTCAAGCCCAGTGTCAGGGTCCTGCACAAATGAACCCATCATTCGCATCAAACTAATAACTAATGGGGTTTCCCATGAATCCAGATCATAAAACTAATATGTTACAAAACTACAAACATGAGCATACACATTTACATACAGTAAAAAAAAGGTAGAATATGCAAACCTGCGATGAACAAGTGAACCATCCAAGACATGATCAGTTGTGTGGCAAGATGTCCACACTGTGCAAAAGTGAGCTCTTTGGATTTGGCAATGGGGGAAATTGTGGTGGCTGGAACATGAGTTATCAATGCGCCATTGACACGCTGTGTCTCAAACCTGTTGATGGAATAAATAATAAAAGAGCCAACATTAAGTGGAATGCGACTGAGCGGACTGTTTGTAGGTTTGAATATCAAAATTCATTGGTCAGGACTCGATAAGGTTGTGGACCCTTCTCAGCCCCTTCAGTACTCACAATTTCTGGTCAAAGAATACCTGATATGTAATCTGTATTTACTCGCATAAAATTTGTGTATTATTAGTATACGTGTGTTCGTCCTACAATGTATATTTCGATACATCACTACTAAATGCGGTCAGCTCCAGTTTCCTGGCCAGTGTCACTGACCTCCATAGTTGAACACAAAACGACTGGAAAGACGAAATCTCTTCGTTACTGCTGTTTAACTTACCATTACCGAGCTTTCCTAAAACTTGGGCATTATTAATGGTTTGTTTAGTTAATAAGCAACCATATCTAGCTCTGCATATAAGTTTTAGAATCGCTTCTCTGCTAAAATGGAGACCTCTAATAGTTTGTCCTGCTTCAACAAGTACTACTGGCCATTCTTTACAAAATGGTCAAGTTTTACCAGAACAGTCTTTTCCCATTATTGCAGAATCTTCTAGCAGAAAATCTAAGTTGGTTAAAAGATTGTGTACATACTAATCTTCTTCTTTCTCCTCTAGGTTAGATTCCTTTATCTGTTTATACTCATTTGCTTCTACACACTCAAGTTTACCTTTCTTCCACCTCTCATTATATTGAATCTCATACTTATTCTGAAGCCATTAAAAATATTTTTTTGAATAAATGCCATGAACGAGAACATTAAGTTAGGGCTGTAAATGAGACGAGACAGATCGCGAGCTATTCGAGATCGACTCGATCAAGACTCGATAAATACTCGGATCGAATGAGCTCGAGCTCGACTCGAGTTCTTAATGAGCCGAAACGAGCTATTCGATATTCGACTCAAAAAACTCGTGAACAGCTCGAAAAAAATGTTATACTATAATTTTAGATTTTTTAAAATTAAATTATTAAAAATATATTAAAAATACATTATTGATAATTATAAAATTTTAAAAATATATTAAAAATTTTATAATACAACTAAACCATATTGTAATGCATTTAATATCAAGATACTATATTGTACTTACCTCATAAATCGATACCAAGTCGATTAATTAAATTATTTGTAATTAACCCTAAACCCTAAATTATAAACCCTAATCCTTAAACCCTAAATCCGATTATATGATAGGAGTTAAGTTATGCACATGAAGGTAACATACAAATTATGCAAAATGATGTTATGTGGCTCCTAAATAAATCATTCACATACTTATACATAAACATACTAACATGCAAAATAAATATACACAACTTGGTGATTGAGACATGATTTTATCATTTCTTAATGATGACTATCGACACCGTCATTGCTTTCAAGCACTGACTCACCAACATAATATTTCAAGAACTGACTTGACGACATAATGTAAACGGAGATTTGATGTACAAATACAACTAAAACGATGAGATCATATTTTATCATACCTAGTCAACAGGTTAACATCAATATCATACAATCACCAATTTTTTTAATGGAAAATGACCAGTTTGAATCATATGAATAGTCGAGTAAATACATTATAGGATTATGATATATATAATTATAAATAATTAAAGCGTTTTAGAATGGAAGTAGAATTTGGGATAGTTATAAAGTAATATATGTTTAAAATTTTCTTAATCAATTAACAATGCTCACACATCCTACAGATACATTTATTTAAACTCAATACCTTTATGGAGAACAACATTTTTTTTTGTTACAAAATTATTAATAATTTAAAAATATACTTGAAATACATTTCATATAATATTTTATTTCTTAAAACTTGATCGACATTACGACGAGATCTATACATAATAAACACATTACATAGAAGAATTACATTTACTATACTCTAATATACTCGTCATTACTCGGTGTTATTCCCACGAGCTATAACTTTTCAAGAAATAGTTCGAGGGGTTCGTGAAGCATCAAAGAGTTTGGTTTAATGCAAGAAATCAAGCTACCTAACAACAGTTCTGTTTTGTTTTATATGTAACATGAGCACTTCAAACAAAACAGAAATAACAGTAAAACACTCATGTGATGAGACCAGATGCTCCAGAAATTCCCCGTACCATCGGCCGCAACGGTTAGCACATCGCTTGGATCATATTCGTTGTCGATGCCTCGCAAGCGCCGACGATTACGATGCCGTTTTCCCGACTTAGGCAGCATCGAAATATAGTTACTCACATGCTTGTAAGTACTAAGCAAAGATTTCACAATAACCGGTTTCAATGGACCAGATGCAGAATCTAACCCTTCTAAACATGTATCCTTGTTCGTGAGAGCTGCACTGAGATAGACTCTCGCGTCAACTATTTTCCTCTAATCTTCATCTTCGATTCTCGACACTGTTTTTTTTCAACAAAGATAGTGTTGATTCATGGAGTTCCATGCAATCTTGCAATGCTCCTCTTTATTTCTCGACAATCACGTTTCCATTTCCGCCATTGGAGAATAAACTTGTTAGCTTCGCAACCTCGGATAATGCAGTGTTGAGGGTTTGAAGGAGGTAGAAAAGCATGTTGGGACTGATGTTTACTGAAATGGAAAGCTTCAGTTAATCGAAACAAGAACCTGGGTATGGAGTTGATTTACAGAAGCTTCGTATGGAAGTGAGATTTGGGTTCAGAGAATTTGTTGAAGAAACGTTGAGAGAGTGTATAAAAGAGAGTGTATTAATTAGATGGCTTTGCAATATGTTGTCAAGGAAATTTTGTTTGAAATTTCAAACAATACGGGTTTCTAACTTGCGATTAGGATCTTTGATTTTCATCTTGCAATTTTGTTACAACTGGAGGTTACTCTTCTTATTCTTGTTACTATGTTTACATGAACAAGTCCTTTTTACTACAACCTTGATCTGGAGATGGGGATCGGAGTTGAAGGTGGGGTGTGAGTTTGGACAACCCCATCGTTGTTATTGTTACTGAGCTGTTTGAAAGTAATTCATATCCCACATCGGTAGCTCTTGGGAAATAAGGGGTAAAGAGAGTGTATAAAAGAGGAATGAGTTTCAACAATTAAAAATTAACCCCTCTTCGAGCTTGAAACAAGCTTCAATCGAGCTCGAGTCGAATTTTAATATTATCTTTCGAGTTCGAGTTGAGCTTGAAAATTTTAGGCTCGCGAGTTTTCGAGTTGAGCTTACATTTAAAGTTTTCAAGTTCGAGTCGAGCTCGGCAATACTCGAGCTAGACTCGGCTCGTTTACACCCCTAATTCAAGCTTTGGAATCTAATAATACATACCCCTAAATAAAATATATTGCTACATTCTCTCATGTGGCAAAGATGGTCATAGTTGGAACTTAAATATTTGGAATTAAACTGAACTATCCCAAAAAATGTCTTGAAACTCTATAGCAATCAAACTGCAAAAAAGCTGAAACCCTAAACAAAAAATTAACCCACATAAGTTACAAGTTCTGGATAAAATTGCAGTAGGAATCAAGTATAAATGAAAGCAAGAAATGATCAAATTTCATGCTGCTACATTCAATCATCTTCTGAATCAACTCCCGCTGCTGCATTAAGGGCCTGCAAACGTTCAATCAACTTAGCTTTCCTTTCCTCAAACGTTAGCTTCTGCAAGTTGAACCTGCAATTGAGATAAACGTTAACATGCTAAGTTATCCATAAAAGTTTACTAGCATCCAATCAAGTCTGGCAGATTATGAACACAGACCTTTTGTGCTGCTTAGGAGCCTCTTTTTCAGACTTCTTAGCAGTTGGGTCGGCTCGGATGGTAGCATGAACTTTCTTGTACATGGTCTCTATGTTATCTGCCTCAATTCCCCTCTTGATATACTCGCTAAAGTGAGACTGATACTTCTCTGGCTCATCTTCCATCAAAGTCTACAAAACAAATCATATCTGTTCATTAACGATAATATAAGCATACAGAAAAGAGAGGGGGTACTATTACGGATATAAAAAAATTACCATCATATATGCAGCAACATGGCCACCATAAATGTACTTCCGGTGAACTTCGGCATCAAGTTGCTTATTGTCCTTGGAGAACCCAGCAAACCTCTTGTCACTATGAGGAATATCCAGGCCAGCATCCAATGCTTCCTGTTCAGACGAGCAAATTCTATTAAATCAAAAGTTTACAGGCTTCATTCAGACAAAAGTTTACAGGAATAACCAAATTTGGATGCTTGAAATACATATTAAAACAGCGGAACACCGAACACAATAAAGGAAAAGTGGTCACAGCCCAATCCGATCATACAAGGCTAAATCAAAAGAAAGCTATACTTGAAACTACTAATGGGCAACAATACAAAGTAACAACAAACAAGCACAAAGGTGGAAAATTTACAGCAAAAGGATTTATTAAGCTGTTTCATAGAAGCTAAGAAGCAGAAAAACTGACCTAAAATCATACAGTCACCCTGAACCGTATAAGAAAACAAGATAAAATTGCAATTAGATTTCTTATGATACCTTCAGAGCACCAAAAACACGATTGCCGGTGGTTGTCCTGATCAGACCTACATCAAGGAGAGCACGGAAAGGCCTCCTTGTGTCAGTTGGCTCGACCGAGTAATCCTCACCAGTAGCCTAGTAATAAATAAACTATCAATAACTAAACCATGTGAAAATACTAGCATCTACTTTTTAACTAGAAAATGGTGAAAGGATTGAATGTATAATACCTCCACATGGCCCTGATATTCATCATCCATTTCAAGCATCTTAAGGACCCGACGCCCCAAAAGCAACCCAGTGCAATAAGCTGTCCAGATTATCCAAAAACATTTGAGAATTTTACTTTCATTCATTTACTCAGAATTTAAGTCAATACAATAGCATAGCTGATAAAAGTTTACAAAATAGAAATGACAGAAACGAAGAAATTTCAAATGACTTGAACAAAATATGCTAACCTAATATTTATACAATTAAACAAAATAAGACATTGGTAGGAAAGTAAAGATTGTTCAACCATATGTTATCTGGAGATAAGTATAATGACATAAGAATATACAACTTTTAGGATACAAAGCGGACAACAAAACGGTACTTTGGGGTGTTGTACTTGTTCTTGTCTTGATTGATCAGGCGAATCCTAGCCCGATAGTCGGTCTTTCCCTCTACAAATAATAAATTCAGTAAATCAGAAGGTCACTAAGAACCAGAAACTCAAATTGCTAAACCATATTGCATTTCTTATAAATAAAAAAAACATACACTGAGAAAGAAAATAATCATAAATATATAAATACCTCTCCTCCTCTTGAAAGGAACCTGAAACCGCTTAAAGTAAGCCTTCGATTTCTGAGCCTTGACAAATCCCTACAATGATCAAAGATATCATACATTATCATTATTTTAACAAATAATAGGAGAAACAGCAACCAAACCCTTTCATTTTTGTACCAAACGAAGACTAACAAATCAAAGATCAAAATTCAACAAACCTACTAAAAAGAATACTAAACAGTGATAAATGGATGATTGAAAAATACCCAGAGTGAAAAAAGTCCACATACTCAAAATGGCATCAGATTTCATTATATCCAACCAGTTGTAAGGTTTAAAAAAAATAAAAACTTTGCTCAAAGCATTACACAGTAAAAAAGTTATTTTTCGGTTGACGGGAAAGCTTAGATGTTAGAAAGGCTTACCATTTTTGAAGCTCTGATCCGAGAGGGAGAGAGGAAAAAAACGGCCTAAGGAGGAGGAGGGATTATATAGACCGAAGCAGATAACTTTAAAACCCTAGTACATGGACACTATGCTTTAGTGTAGATCAACGGCTAAGATCGATTAAAGGCCTCCCTCTAGGGTTTTATTTTGGTCGTATAATGGTATAAAATAATTTTAGGGCTACATTGTGAGCAAAACCAGACTGCAATCAACTTTTTCGATTCAAACCAATGTTAAAAAATTTTGAATCGAAATTTTTTAACTTGATTGTAAAAAATTAAATTTTAGTAGAGTTATAAAATAAAATTTGAATAATTCGAATAATTTGAAGCTTTTATTAATTAATAAATTAATTTTTAAATTTAAGTTAAATATTTCGATTTTACATGATATATGTATATTGTATATAAAAAATATATGTATACCGTATATTAATATAAAAATTTGTTTAAATTAAAATCAAATAACATCATAACATTATAAATATTTGTAATTAAATATTAAAAAAATTGAACAACTCAGCTCGAATTTTTTTTAAAGAAAAAACTTGAATTATGAAATATGATTCATCAACTTGACTAATTCGATTGATTCGACTCGAATTAATCGAATACTAACTCCTTATTGTAAAATATTTCGTTTTATCACTTTTAAATTAAAGTTGTAATATTAGGGCAAATTGTAAATTTAATAAATGAATTTTGAATTGTAATTTTATAAATTTAACTCGATTTTAAAAAAATTAAATTTTGGTAGAGTTATAAAATAAAATTTGAATAATTTGAATAGTCTGAAATTTTTATTAATTAATGAATTAATTTTCAAAGTTTAAGTCAAATCCTTCGACTTTACATTATATATGTATATTGCATATAAAAAAATATATGTATACCATATATTAATACAAAAATTGTTTAAATTAAAATAAAATAACATCATAACATTATAAATATTTGCAATTAAATATTAAAAAAAATGAACAACTTAACTTGAATTTTTTTTTAAAAAAAAACTTGAATTATGAAATATGAATCATCAACTTGACTAATTCGATTAATTCAACTCGACTTAATCTAATATTAACCCCTACATATGATTGTAAAATATTTCGTTTTATCACTTTTAAATTAAAGTTGTAATATTAGGGTAAATTATAAATTTAATAAATGACTTTTCTCGTCACTCCTATTTTACTCATTCTACTTTTTTTTAATTTAATAATTAAACTTTGTACATTAATTTTTTTTATCATTCGTTCGTCTTCCACACTTTCACTGCTACTACTTGCACTGCTAAAAATCTCTCCACCAGGGTTTTAAATAGCGTTCGCAGTCACGTTTTCAGTACGTCGCGTTTATCACGGTTGCAGATACAATGGATTCTATTGCGGATATCGCGATCACGATTTTTTTCAAAGGAGCTGGTTTTTTTAATAAAAAACCTTTTTTAAAAAATTAAAATAATGGAATAAGAGCATAATAGCGATATGCTATTGTCGCAATTGACCACGATCTGCTAAATTGCGATCGCATCCATCGTTATTGGTGTGATCCCGCTTTACACCGTTATTTTTTACGATAGCAGTTTCGAACACTGTCACGATCGTAATATAACGGCCGCGACATCCCTATTCGGCCGCTATTTGAAACTCTGCTCCACCATCTTCTCTATCCTTTCTAATACTTGCATCCTCCGCGCATTCTCAATATCTATCACCTCAAGGGACCAAACTTTAAACACTCAAGAAGTAAACTTCGTCAACCCCAAACTTCCACCAACAACTTTCTCCTCTTCCAAAAAGTTTGAAGGCTCATCAGAAAACGTTGATTTTCAGTAAATGATAATGAAGTAGAGAAAGAGAAATATATTCCCTGAAGCCCAGGCAAATGATAATGAAGTGGAAGAGGGAGAAGCCAAAATAATTTAAAATCAAAACACATCGAGCAACAAAGAAAAAAGATGGAGAAACTCTCAATCACAACTGGTTCAAGATCTTTTGGCTGGGACATTTGAGAATAGGAAGTTGCAACACCCAAGACGCAATGACTATAGGAAGTTGTTTACCCTATTTTAAGTACATAAATTTAATTGGATGAAAAACTAGGGGACTGAATTGATTGTTTTCAAAGTTGGAAGGCTTCTAAAATGAATAAGACTAAAAACGCCTCAGGGTCTCTTCCTTGAATAATACTCAATCAGATAATCAAATCTTTTAAAAAAAACCTCGTAATCAAACTCTAACGGAATCTTCCCAAAAATTAAAAGCCCCAAACTAAATCAAATAAGAATAAAGTGCGCCAACTCGATTCCCCGAAACAGCACCACCGTATCACCGCCAGCCATGGACGATCCCATTACCATCGACTGCACCGACGAGGACTCGGCCCTCCAAGTCCCAGTTCCTGAGCCGACAAGAGGTTATTCGTCGGCGGTTACGGCGGCTGAAGCAACTGTGCAGGCTCTACAAAGCTCACTACTGGGGCTTTATGGAGGAGGTCAGGAGACAGCACAAGGACTACTATTGGACGTACGGAAAGAGTCCCTTCAAGGAAGATGAGAAGAAGGATGGCGAGCAGAACGATGGAAACAATAAGTTAGGGTTAGGGTTTCAGCTGAAGTGTCAGATTTCAGATTGTAAAGAAAAGGCGATGGCGTTGACTCGGTACTGTCATAAGCATATTTTAAAGGATCCAAGTCAGACACTATATCGAGGCTGTAATTATCCTATCAAGAGGTTAGTTCGTTTTTAATATATGATTTATGATTTTTCTTTTATATGTTACCTGTTTTTCTTGAATTATTTTTCTTCAACAATTGATTAATTGGGGAAATCATGAATTAGTTTTCTCTCCCTTTTTGTGATATGAGATAAAATTTATGCACTTGGATTTACCGACTTTGGAAATTTAATTCAATAAAGAATTAGTGCTCCTCTAATTTTGGATCCTAAAACTTTGATCCCGCACAGTGATATAAGGAGTCTTGGGCGAGGGATCTTAAGAATATCTAGGGATGGGTCGAGAGGGGGGCGGCTGGGAGCGTCCCCTTAAATTTTCAAATTATCATATATTTTCTATTGATGATCTGTTTTCGCCCCACTACCTAACATAAAATTCTGGTGCGTCCCTGAGAATATCAAAATTAAGTTGATACACACTCTACATTTTTCCTTTCTCGGAAAGCATCTCCTAACTAACAAACCTAGTCTTATTTAGGGACACGCTACTTATTTGCCAACCCCAGTTTTGTGGATGGATTAAAGTATTCAGCTTGGTAGACTGTTCGTGAATTTAAACATGCTGTTTGTGTTGAAATAATGAAAGTGATTTCCACACTCCTTGGTGAAGGAACATATGATGGAATATAAATGCCATTGCAATCATGGTGTATTATTGTGAATCTTTGGTATTTCCTTTTTATTTTCTCTCATGTTCTAGAGTATGATTTGATGTTTGTTAGGAGAAGTCTCTATTATTGGTGCGAGTGACGAGTGTTATAAGAGAGAATGCCATTTGTTGTAAGATAGGTTAAGATAATATTGATGTGTTAATTGTCTTTACTGTTTAGTTCATGATCCTATGCCCCAAACAATACAAGAATGAAAATTTTCAGGGAAAAACAAAGGAAAACCAAGGTGGTGTTGGTGGCATATGGTTATGCATAAGAAAGGTTGAAGAGAGTTTTGGCTTTGTTCGCCTCAATCCCTTGGAAACATTCCAAAAATTTGGATTAATCCCAACTCTTCTATGGAATTATGGATATGAACTATGTTGCTCAAACTCTTCATTTTTATTGAAGTATCCATGTCTGATACTTGTGTCCAAGATATAGATATGAGAATATAACCTCCAAGGATCCTCCAAATACTTGAGAAAACACAGAAAAATATGATATAACGTCCCTTACAGGACACTAACACTTGAGTTTAAGTAACATGGGATATGAGAAATAATCCTACCTGTTATTTCATAGTCTCAGCTTAGTATGTGCTTCACTGCAGTAATTTTCTTTTCTTTGGGAAAAATAATTTAAATCGTATATGGGATCATTGGACTGTTATGCTGCTGCATTTTATCACAGTATATCATATAAATTATGTGAGTTTTGCACCTGCAATTGATAGTTTGATACTCGGATGTCAATATTTTATTCATCACTTTTATAAATGAAAAAGGGCCTTTTGGCATGGCTGGGACTTTTCTAAAGAAGTGCTATTGGAGTCGGAGTCACTAACATGGTGAAATCGATATAAATTTTCTTATTGGTAAAAGTAAAATAAAACATTCATCTATTAAACTAAATGATAAGTTTTAAGGTGAAAGAAATAAATGAAGAAAATATTTTTATATATATTAGAAATAAACATAAATGAGATAAAAGGAAGGTAAATGGGCTAAATAAAATGATGAATGTGGAAAAGTTGTAATTTTCCAATTAAAGGGTAAATGAGAAAGCAAATGAATCCGATTTAGTGTTCCTATATTAGCTCTTTTATGAAGAAGGATTGATTTAGTTTTGTCTGAAAACACTGACAGGGTTCCTGCATAAGCTAAAAAATTAGAACTTTTAAGAGCCAAAGACAATGGTTCTACTTTTATTGCGGAAAATCTCTCATGAGCTGGGCCGAACACACATTAAAACTAGGCACTTAAACTCTTGCTCTCTCGATTTTAAACATTTGGGAGGTGTATGCTAGGGGACACATGGTTAATACTATTTTTAGATGTTACCTTAGTGGTGCCAATTATTACCACACTTCTTCTCGTGTAGGAAAGCAACTGCATCATTTATAGCTGGCTTTATTTCTTGTTTAGGTCACTATACTGAATAGCCATGTCCTCCAATTAATATCAATGCCTGATCTCCCATTTGGGTTTGGGTTTCTAGTTATACTTGCTTCCTACATTTTTGCTTGCATGATTTTTTTTTTTGGCTAAAGTAGTCGAATATTGACTGTATCTTTTTTATATAGCGGGCAGATTTGCAAGAAACCAATCCTAAGATCCATTAATCCTCTTCATTGCCCTGTCCATGCTCAAGCGGCTGAAAAACATCTTGCACGGGCATTGAAAAGGGCAGGCCTCAATGTCTCTTCTTCAAGTAAACTTGCTCCGAAGTTGCATGTTGTCGTTGCGGAGTATGTTCGCCAGATTCAAACTAAGAGACGAGAAGCAGATCGAAGATCTGTATCTAGAATCAAGATTGAAGAGAAAACTAGTGATAGTTGAACATGATTCTGCAAACATGTTAAGCCAAAAGAATTAGGTAGCTTATTGCTGCTGGCGGTGCTAGGCTTTGGTAGTGTATCTAATTGAGCGAAGATGTGGGACACTGTATTTGCGCATTGAATATTATTTTTTTTTCTTCATATTATGTGAAGGTGCTTTCTATTGTTGTTCTTCATCCCCCCCCCCCTAATATTATTGTTGGGTTTTGACAAATGATATATATAAAGCTCAAATATTTGAGGCAAGTGATTCCTCTTTTTAATAACTAAGTTTCCAAAGATTCACTTTAAATATTTTCCAAGAATAAAAAATATGAAAAAAGCACTATTCATCTCCTGTTTCGTAGATTTTTCATAAAGGTCGGAGTCCACATTTGCCAAAATAAATCAATTTATTTTCATGTGTTCAATATATCGGAGGTATTAAGTTTAACAAATATATATATAGAAACCTTTCCCTAACAACAAGGTCGTTGTAGTATAGTGGTAAGTATTCCCGCCTGTCACGCGGGTGACCCGGGTTCGATCCCCGGCAACGGTTACATGATGACTCCCACGTACGACGAATGGATTTGGGCCTGGGGTTACTCGGGAAATGATCATAAAGATTCCAAGGGATGGGATGGTAAATAAGGTGATGTTTTATTTCACCTGTTAATGAAATTTTGAAAGAATTATCTTTCTTTCTTCTGGGGAAAAACATTAAAGTTTCGTCTTCTTTATGGACTTGGCATTTTTACAAGTATCCTTAAGAGGTATGGCCACCTTTAGTAATATAAATATTTTTTTTGGATAATTAATTTTATTACCCAAGAGCAGTTGACTGTTACAAAACAATAGAGTCAGATATACAAATATCGCCCAAACAAAAGGCAATCAACCCATCAAACTATATCCATTGGTTACAAAGAGTAATATTAACATAGTCTAATCTACTAATAGTTCTTCCCCTTAGATGAATACCAACAATTTCCTTGATAGCATTGAACATTTCTTCAACAGCAGATGAATGACCTTGGAAAAACCTCTTGTTTCTTTCCTTCCATATGGTGTAAATTAAGGCATTCGAAGAAATTTTCATAATAGAAGTTAGAAGGGATTTACCCTTCCAAAACGTAGCAGTCCAACCAAAGAGTGCATCCCAAGAAGGATGTCTAAACCGTAATCCATCGAGAGAAAAGAGCAGACCATAAAGAGGAAGCAACCAGACACTCGAATAATAAGTGATTCCTAGTTTCCATTGCAGCAGCACAGAAAATGCAGTGGCTGTCATTAACAATCCCCATTATGTGAAGTCTTTCTTTAGTAAGAAGTCTGTCAAGAAATGTCATTCAGGTTATAAAACTATGCTTAGGTATGAGAAGAGGGAACCAAAGCAAAGAGTGCCATTGAACTTTAGGATTCTTCACCCAAAGCATCAGATGACAAAATTGAGGAGGCTTCTGACCTTAATTTGAGGATATGTTTTAAGCTCCAACTCATGTTTGATTTAACATCAACAGTCCAGAATTCAGTAATATAAATATTCTTATTTTACATTAAGGTATTTTTTTCTTTAAAGAAAATTAAATACGACATGGATTATTAATTGTTTAATACATGACAGATTTATAACTAAGGGCGGCTAAAAACCGGACACACTTTTATATTAAGAAGGTAAATTTATAGGAGAAATGAACTAATAAATTTTTAGATAGACAAAGAGATCATGGATACGAGCATCGATCTACATGATATTTGCGCATTCATTGTTAAATGGTTGAGAATATTTAGAATATATATTACAACTTGCAAGCATCCTAGATGAATAAAAAAATACTTTTAGAAGGACAAAAATATATTATTAATAAAAATATTATAAAAATTAAATACAAACTATTACTTAAGAAATAAGAATAAAAATAATACTGAAATCGGAACCCAAAATAAAACAAGTATATAATTATATTTTATTATTTTCAAACTTTTTCTTGGTAAAAGAAATTAATATTTTAAAAGATGAATTAAATTCACATATTGATTTTTTATAACTGTACATAAATTTTATATTTTGAGAATATCAATTTAATTTAATTTGTAAAAATATACATTAGTGTGTAACTCTAGTAATTTTAACAGAATAAAATAATTTTCCTTTAAAATTGCAAAAAGACCAAATATTTTTTGTCGAAATTTTAAAAGATGGAATAATAATTTTTTCAAGTCCCCTATCGGAAGATTTGAAGAAAGAAGTGTAGATAACCCTTTACAACAGATCAACAAGTCTATATATCAAAGCATCAGATAAATTCATTTAATCAAAGAAATGACTAAAACACAAACGTTCAACGTTCATTCTTACGTATATGGTGTGCTTCACCCTCTATATTGTTACCAGATAAATAAAACCCATTTTTCATTTGCTGTCGGAGAAATCTGCATCGATTACATCCCCGTCGGGACCCTTGTTCGATGAATCCGAAGGTTCAGTTTCACCACCAGGTGCAGGCTCAGCAGCACCTCCTGCTGCACCGGGTTGGTTGTAGAGTGACTGACCGAGCTGCATCACTTCTTGGTTGAGGGCAGCCATGGCATCCTTCATACCTTGTGTTGAGTCCCCTGAAATTGCATCCCTGAGCTCTTGCAATTTTGCCTCTACTTTCTCTTTGACTGGAGCAGGAACCTTGTCTCCAAGCTCTTTCAGCTGCTTCTATGTCTGGTACACTACAGTATCGGCCTGGTTCTTTGTGTCTATTGCATCTCTTCTCTCCTTATCCTCCTTTGCAAACTTCTCAGCTTCCTTTACCATTCGATCAACCTGCATAATTTATGTTATGAAATAAGTGCCAATAATTTTTAGATGGCTTTCGAGCAATTCCTCTCTGTATCAAACAAAAGCGTACCTCATCGTTAGGCAAGGTACTAGCACCAGTAATAGTGATGTCCCTGCTTCTTCCCAGTTCCCTTATCAACAGCAGTAACAGATAGAATACCATTGGCATCAATGTCAAATTTTACTTCAATCTGCGGAACCCCACGTGGTGCTGGTGGGATCCATCAAGACGGAAGCTGCCAAGAGATTTGTTATCCCTAACAACTCTCTTTCACCTTGGAGCACATTAATCTCTACACTTGTCTGCCCATCCGCAGCAGCTGAAACACTTCTGATTTGGAAGTTGGCAGTGTAGTGTTTCTTGGGATATTTTGGTCATAACACCACCGAGTTTCTAGACCAATCGACAAAGGCGCCACATCTAAAAGCACATATCACTGACATCCCAGATAAAACATCGGCCTAAAACCAAGTTATAGAAGGTAAACATTAAAAATATAACTTCAAACAATAACATGAAAAATCGCAGCAAAATCTAAACCAACCGTTGACATTCTGCCTGCTTCTTCCCAGTTCCCTTATCAACAGCAGTAACAGATAGAATACCATTGGCATCAATGTCAAATTTTACTTCAATCTGCGGAACCCCACGTGGTGCTGGTGGGATACCATCAAGACGGAAGCTGCCAAGAGATTTGTTATCCCTAACAAACTCTCTTTCACCTTGGAGCACATTAATCTCTACACTTGTCTGCCCATCCGCAGCAGCTGAAAACACTTCTGATTTGGAAGTTGGCAGTGTAGTGTTTCTTGGGATGATTTTGGTCATAACACCACCGAGAGTTTCTAGACCAATCGACAAAGGCGCCACATCTAAAAGCACAATATCACTGACATCTCCAGATAAAACATCGGCCTAAAACCAAGTTATAGAAGGTAAACACATTAAAAATATAACTTCAAACAATAACATGAAAAATCGCAGCAAAAATCTAAACCAACCGTTGACATTCTGCAAAGGAACAAGTACTGTAGAGCTATCACTAAACTTGCACAAGAATAAACCCACCTGAACTGCAGCTCCTAAGGCAACAACTTCATCCGGATTGACTGTCACATTAGGTTCCTTTCCAGTCATCTTCCTCACAAGCTCCTGAACAGCAGGAATTCGTGTCGATCCACCAACAAGGATAATCTCATCTATGTCATTGAAGGAAAGCTTAGCATCCCTCAAGGAATTCTCCACAGGTGTCTTAAGCCTTCAGTTATATTAAATAGACAAGAGAAACTTAAAACCCCTAGTGATTGAGCCCAAAAATTAGGAACAATAGCAACAGATTCTCCTTTTCTTTCTCAGTGTCCGGGTTTTTTTTAACAATAAGCATGATATAGAAAGATTGAAATGATAATAAGTGTAACTACCGGTCAAGTAAGTCTGAGCACAACTCCTCGAAGTTAACCCTGGTTAAGGTGGTCTCAATGTGTTTAGGCCCAAGCAAGCTTTGTTATTAAGCACGAATAGAAATAAACAAATAACATGTGTATACAAAAAGAAGGATAGAGAGATGCCTTATGTTCGCCTGAGTCAATGATGATAACTCCATTTTAGCTTTCTCAGCTGCTTCAGTTAACCGCTGAAGAGCTTGTTTGTCTTTCAAAAGATCAATGCCTTCATCTCTCTTAAAGTTTCCAGCAAGCCAATCTACAATTCTCTGCACATAAAATAAGACATGAAATACTTCAGTACTGAAAGATACAGCTAAATGAAAGAACGCTCAAATTCATCAAGCATAGCAACCTTATCGAAGTCGTCACCACCCAAATGCCTGTCTCCAGATGTAGAGAGCACCTCAAACACTCCATCACCAACCTCAAGCACTGTAATATATTCAACAAATCGATGATCAAACATTTGCTGATACATTAACCAATAAAAGATAAATTAAATGACTATATATGTAGATAAATAGTTTCTCAACCATCCAACATACCTGAAACGTCAAAAGTACCACCTCCGAGATCAAACACGAGGATGGTTTCATTGTTCTTCTTCTCAAACCCATATGCCAGTGAGGCAGCCGTAGGTTCATTGATAATCCGGAGAACTTCTAAGCCAGAAATTCGACCTGCATCCTTCGTTGCTGTCCTTTGGGAATCATTGAAGTAAACAGGGACAGTAACAACAGCTTTTGTCACTTTATCATTCAAAAACTTCGAAGCATCATCAACAAGCTTTCTCAAAACCTATATCCAAAACTAGAAGCAACCAATTAGGCACAGAAAGATTCTAAATTTTGAAAGAAAAACAGCTAAATCCTTAAACTTGACTTATAATAATGCATTACTTGTTAATAAACTCAAAGTTTCATAGTTCTGGTTTTCAAAACATTTTCAATTTCTCAAACTTAAAATATCAAATAAACTCGCTAA